ATGGCAGCTAGTGTAAAACCTTTGGGCAGACTACTTAAATTAGACAATGACTAAAGTTGTATGAGTGGCTAGTTGTATACTCTTCTCATGGTTCCCCTCTGTGGTTGTAATGCAACCATTAGCCAAATATACTATCAATAAAATCCTGAATCGCAAGTACTCACCTTAAAAAAAAAAAAAAAAAAAAAAAAAACAAATAAGGAATTATTAAGATATCTTAATAGATTTTTGTAACTAACAAAATGAACAATAAGTTAAAATTTAATAAGATATAACGTCTGCAATATCTTCTATCAACTTTTTCCATTTTTTCTATTTTTTCAATTGACATTTCATTATGAATTCCTTTTAAGGTTAGAAAATATCAACAAATTTCTTGTGATTCAATAACTGCAAATTGGTTCTTTTTAGCAATTCTTTAAAGCTAAGAGAGCACTACATTTGTTTCTATTTCGTAAGGTTTTCTTTGCTATTTCAGTTATTTTTTTATAAATAGTTAAAAAAATAAGTTGAAAAAAAGTATTAGTTATAAACAAATTCAGGTCTTTAATGAAACTTAAATACTGTATACTTTTTTTTGATATCGCATTAGCCTTTTCATACTGAATTTTTAAATTAAGTATAGCACAATCTTGAAAAGCTACTTTACTACCTTTTATTATCCATTTTAGTGAACAAATCAGAATAGTAAAAATAAAAGTATGGAAGTATGTTTATAACAGTCACGCAGATTACAAGATAAAATTTTTTTTATGAAATAGAAAATACCTGAATCGTGACTAATAATTATAAGCTATGCATTTAAAAAAAAAGTATATACATGCTAGTCTGAATGTTACTCATGATTTTAATTATTTTAAAGTACTGTAATAGCAAATTTTTACATTAGGAAAACCAAATTAGATGCTTATAAATAATATTAAAACATGCAACTCTAAATGTCAATAGTACAATAAAGTAATTATTCATTCTCATAAAAGGTTTGCACTTATAAAATCAACTGTAACTTAATTATATACAACAGCCTTTTGCATTCTAACAAAAAAAAATAAAATTAATACAAATCTTATTATGCACTATATTTTGCAATTCTAATACTGACCTTATTACATTATTTGATTTCTTTAGTTGTATTAAATTTCTCGTTTTATTCTTTTTCATTCGCATTAGTCTAATTTTAAATTAATGAAAATAAGTATAATTTTATGATATAGCTAGTAGTGCTGCAAAGCTAAAATATGCAAATCTTATCTAATAAGATTTGCATATTTTAACTTTATGGCACTCAAATTAACTTACTTTATTAGCATTATTACGAACATGTTTTGTAAATATCTTAAGTTCTCATCTTGATCTTGGATCTGGTTCTGATTCTCTTCAAGAATTTTTTTTGGCCAACTACGCTTCTTTTTTACAGACACATTCTCCTTTTCACATCTGATTCTTCCTTTTTTGGGCCTCCTAACAGCCTTGCTCTTAATGAGATTATTAATTATTAGGTATTTCGAGGATACTGGATTTTGAACATTGCCAGAAAAAAAATACAAAGCCTCCAAATATTTTTCGAGATATTTTATAAAATCTGCACATTTATCAGGATCTGTTGCAATTTTACTTGCAATTTTCCTTGACAATTAATGAATATGCATATAATGCAATTTAAAAGTAGACTCACTAAATGATTCATTTACTGTTGAAGTTTCTAAAGCTTGAGGTTGTGAATGGTTATAGAAATTAATGTAATCCTTTACAAGCTCCAGTTCTGATAGATCTTTTTGTCAATGTTTTGGGAAATGAACAGAGTCAAGTTGTACAAGAGAAAGACGAATAGCTACTGCAAAAGAATGCTAGCAAACTATTCCAGTAAATTCGAGATTATGACAGCTACAGGTAAATAAATGACCATTATAATACACCCAACATATAATGTTAGGTCTTTTATAGCAGGATAGTTTAAAGTAACATAATCCATTATCTTCGATTGTTTCCTCACACCTGTATGCATCCTTAGCATTCCATTCTGTTACAAATTTCTTCTATGCATATCATATTAAACAATTAGCAGCTTGGTTTTTAATTAGATTTTGAGAAATAGACTGGGTAGGATAAACAAGCTCCTTATATGCAAATATATGCTCAGCTTCTTCACAGGCATCAAGTGCTTGTTCAAAAGCAACTAGAAAATCTGAGAGCATGGTTTTACTATCAAAAAATCTTTTCAACAGTTTATTCATAGATTCTAAACTTTGTGTTGTTAACATGTTAGCAAAAAAGTGATCTTTGAGATATGCTGAAGCCTACTACTCACGCCACTAACTGAGGACTTTAAGGTATAACTTTGCTTCATAATAATTATTATTTGTCATAATATTATTCCATAATTCTTCGAATTCATTTTTATCAATACAATGATTAAGGCATTTAATTAAATTAGAATAAAACTTATTATAATTAAATCCAAGCTTGGCGGTCATATTTAACCTAAGGTTTTTAAGCATATGCTATATGCAAAGACCATGTTTGGTATTATGCTTGTTGGTTAAAATAGAACGGATGGCATCAGCCATTGAAAGATCATTGTCTGTAAGAATAGTCTAAGGTGCAATACCAAAAATATAAATAAAGGCATTAAAAAGCTACTCAAAACTTAAACAGGTCTCATCTCGAAGTAGTGCATTAGCAGCACAGTAAGAAAGTCTATTATTGGTAATACCAGTAAATACTCCAAATAGCATTGAATAATAGTTGCATTTATATGCATTATCATACACAATTATATCATGAAAATGCATATATTGTCATTTTTGTAATGAATATGCCCAAATAACATACTTCAAGTAATTATCATGATCCAACTCAAACTCAAAAGAAAACTCAGGATCATCTCTATGTTTTTGCTAAAGAAGAAGGAAATCATGTGCCTGAAATTCATTACACAACATACAGTCACTACTAATCAAGTTGTACACATCTCGAATTATCCATTTTTTCATGGCTGGTCCATATTTTATAACAAGTAATAACTGAATTTGTGTCATTGAAATATCTGCTTTTTTTGAGAGTAATATTTCTTCCTTAATATACATAGATATTTCACAGCTCGAAGGTGAGATATGCATAAGCTGTAGAGAAATCAATGGGTAGTTGTGGTGAAGAGTAGCTTGTGAAATATAATATTTATCATCATCTTGGTTGTGGTTGAGATGAATAAACCATGAACAACCATACTTTTTTGATTCTACATTCCTTGATTTTTTATTAGAATCCTTGAGCTTTGGTTTGAAGAATCCATAATGGTCACAAGTAAAAACTTGTGTATAACATATACCATTATTATGATTGCTGCCTTTGCAATAAATAATCTTGAAACTTTTTGATTCAGCATACTGGTTAGCAATGTATTTGAATGCTTCAAGAGAGGTGTAAGCTTAGTTATTTTGAAAAAATTGATTTTCAGATTCTTTTAGACTTTCAGATGTTTCAGGTAAGTTTTCATATTCTTGGAAGGTTTTTTGTTCTTGTAGAGTTTCACATTCTTGTGCTATTTCACACTCTTGTGAGGTTTTGCATTCTTGTGAAGTTTCATGTTCTTGTAAGGTTTTATGTTCAAAAGATTTCTTATCTTCTGTCGGATTTTCATGTTCAAGTGGTTGGTTTGAAGGTTCTAACAAATTTTCAAACTCTGACAAATTTTCGAATTCATAATAAGTAATATTGATATGAAATATAATTTTACAAGTTATTACAGTAACACCTTATACTATATCATTAGAATCCTGTGTAATACATGCCATTAGTAAAACAATATCTTTTCAACAAACATTGATATAAAATATTGCTTAGTTCTTTATAGGCCACATTTAATTTATACATAGTACTTGACAACACCTTTATATGTAGTACTTGACAACAATCTTATATGTAGTACTTGACAACACCCTATATGTTTTATATCATATAAAATTCTTTAAATACTTATTCATGATAAAATTAGTTTGCATTATAAATAAAAATCTATATATGTATATACATTATATTCTGTGTTCTAATTCTTAAAACCTTCATCAGATCATACAAATTTAATAACTCTTATACCTGACTAGGTTAGCTTCGTAAATCATTAAAAAAAGGTTTGGATAAGCTTTCACTATACAATTGTGATTGAAATTAAAAGTTAGAGTGGCAGTAGACTGGCAGTAGGTTTTTAAAAAATCTTTTTTGAATTTGCATACAACTTTAATGTTTGTAGCAATGTACATATAATAACTTCTAAAAGTTTGTTATAGTTATACAGATAAACATCTAGAAGCTTTAGTGTAATGAAGTGTAATAATAACATGCTATATTTTCAAAGGCTATTGTCGATATAATGTATAAAACATCTGAACTAAACTGAAATCTTATACACTAAGTCACATGATTATGGCATTTTTATTGGTTGATAGATGAGAGGTATACAAGCTATATATCTTCATTAGGAGATGCTTATAATTTCTTTTTAAAATAATAGAAGTTTGAACAACATTAAATATTATTATACTTAAAGTAATAGAAATTTAAACAATATTAAATAATACTATACTTAAAATAGTAAAAATTGTACAAAACTAACTAAAAATATTATTTATATCATTTGTTATTTGTGTTTAGACACTTAAATCTGTACAAAAACACTTGAGATTTATGCAAAGATACTTAAAGTTTGTATAAAAATACTTGAAATTAATGTTAATAATACTTGGAATTCTTATATTGCAGCACTTGGCATATATATATCTATTTACCTATCAGCTTATATAATATTAGTTAATTATTCATGTATGATCTACTAATTAGATTTTGTCATAGGAATATATATGTTTAAGTGATATCTATGCATACCTAACCAATTAAAAATACATTATACTGATTTTTTTTTAAAAAAAATTCTTTAGCATACCCAACCAATCAAAAATACATTACACTAATTTTTTTTTTTAAGATTTTTTAGTACATCTAACTAATCAAAAATACATTATACTGATTTTTTTTTTTTAAGATTCTTTAGTGATAATATAAAATATGAGTTATACTGTTATATGCAACTTATTAAAATCTAATAATTAATTCAAAGACAACATATTTTTAAGCTTTATTATTAATTAAAAACATTAAATATATAAAAATTTGCTTAATAACTAATAAATTAAATAACAAACATATTAAGTCTCCTCTAACCTATCCTAGCTAGATAAATTAATTAACTATAACATTTATTAGAAAATAGAAAATATAATGTCATATTGTATATCTTAAAAGAATATTCTTAATTAAGTAGCACAAATGTAGTTAAAAATCTTTAGTATAAAAATTCTTCTATGTACTTATAAAGTTTTTTTTTTTTTGCTTATACTAAGGCTATAATTATTAGTGACTATTATCTTTATTATATTTTAATTATAATTATATAATTTGTACAAGGTGAGTATACAACTAGCCACATGTACAACTTTTGGTTGTCTATTTTAAGTAGTCTGCCTGTATAGCAGATTCTACACTAACTATCATACCTGCAATCTACTAGGAAATTACTTATTTAAATACTCTGATCCTTATACTTATACTGACAAATAGTATACAAGTTCCCATACATCTAAGTGCTATCTAACCTAATTGTGACCTTCCTGTCTGTACATCTGTTAAGCTATTACACATTTTAGAGTATATTACCTGACTATAGAGCTTCAGAGGGCCCTTCTGCTAACTAATTACTTACATTAGTCTCTTGTTAATAGGGCTTGCCTTTGTAAAGTTTATTCAGACCCTAGCACCAACTTTACAATATATTTCTAGTACTTATAGTATACCCTTGTTTCTGATCTCAAACTTTCAATCCAGATAGTTTAGTAAGACTATAATCTGTTTTTGATATTCCAAGGTCTGCCCCCAAGATTCTTTTCTTCTAGTTTAAAACTTCTGATGGTCTGGTTGGTAGTACTGTAATAGAATTTTTTTTTTTTTATATTAGTATATATTTATTTTTAGCTCTATATTATATTTTATATTTTTCTTAATATTTTTACATAGT